TGTCAAAACTTAATTAAAATTATTAAAAATCCTATTTCTCTTAGACATGAATTGTTAAACATTAGTATATATCCGAATATGTAAAACTACTTATATGTAACTCCTTTCAATATGGGCCAGAGGCCATAAATGCAATAAATATCTTTGACGTTGACTGTATTGTATGTTGTACCATATTCAACATATTTGGTGCCCCCGTGAATATTACATGTACCATATGCAACATATCCAGTGTCCATTGAATATTACATGTACCATTTTCAACATATTTGGTGACCCTGTGAATATTACATGTACCATGTTCAACATATTGGGTGACCCTGTGAATATTACATGTACCATATTCAACATATTGGGTGACCCTGTGAATATTACATGTACCATATTCAACATATTGGGTGACCCTGTGAATATTACATGTACCATATTCAACATATTGGGTGACCCTGTGAATATTACATGTACCATGTTCAACATATGGGTCAATTTTTGCCTGTCATTTTTTTGGGTAAATTTTACAGTATTTCCCTTTTTCAAATTTAATTTTGGAAAATCCCAAAAGTATTAAAATCTGCAAAGTTGCTATATACACTTTACCTGCCCTTTAAGATTCCAAGCAGTATATAAGGATTCACTTGGTATTTCCAGCTAAGCGCTGTGTCAGGCATATTAGTTGAAAAGTTTAATTTGTTCAAAACTCTTTTGTTTTTATAAATACATTTTTTCTGAAATTTAGGAATATTTATCACTGTATTTGGTACAATTATGTGAACTACGTATTTCAAGCCTTTACCTCTTGCTACTGTTATCAGTGAAATACAAGTCAGCTTCGGAAACCAAATACCCAGGGGCTACTATTAATTAAAATCTGAATTCAGAAATTCTTAATTCCATTTTGGGAGATTTGCTTTGCCCTTGAGGCAGAATACCAGCATCTCTTGACTCAAAGTATATATTATGAAGACTGTACTGTGGAACCACCTCCGTGGTCTAGTGGCAGAGCGTCCGCCCAGAGAGCGGAAGGTCCGGGGTTCGATCCCGGCCGCGTCATACCAAAAGACGTTAAAAGATGGTACTTGTTGTTACCCTGTCTGGCGCTTGGCATTAAGGAGCTAAAACAAGGACTGGTCGGCTAGGAGTCAGTATACTGTGTCTGAGTCAGGTATTCATGTTAAACTGCGGCATGGTATCTCAGTGTGCTAGCACTATTAATCGGCACACACACGCACGCACGCCCAATTTCACCTCACCTGTACTGTGGATAAGCTGTAATGGCTGACAGTAAAGGACTGGACATCTGGATGTCTTCTTCAACTGAATCATGTTTCTCTTTTCCTTTCACGATTACGAGTCTATATGAGGGGTGTTTAAGTCCTTATACCTCGCTTTCAATATTGTTGCCATGGTTTCCTTTGTAAATATTGTAGGTGTTTAGACTGATACACCTGTCGTCGGGTAAAAAGTGTAGGTGAGTCACTGATAAACGAGCATGTGCAATGTGTATAGCATGTGCATTATACACGCTGCATAATGGAACATTGAAAACAAAGACGCAAGTCTCACATGGTCTGAACATGTAGTGACCCAAATCAATTCATTGTGATTAACTCAACCGAAATTGTGGTGTAATGCAGTTATACCCACAATTCCTCAGTGTATCTGTCAATATTCCGACAATTTTGGTCATGAGGCTTCCGAGACGGAAACACCATGACATTTTCGCTGTAACTATAACATTCATGCACTTGCTGGACTTACAAGGTGTTGGTTGTTCAAGGTTGAGGGATGAGATCAGAGGTGCTTACTTATATATTAGGGCTGGGACGATACACCAACTGTGCGATCAGATACATAACACGATACCTTGCTCATGATCCGATATGTATCACGATACTTGCATGTGCTTTTATCTGTGGTGTGTTAGCCATCTTTTTTCAAAGACACGATGGCCAAATACGTGACACACTAACGTTTTACAGTTGGCAGCGTCAAGTATCGCACGATGGATGAAAATAGTTTCTGTTTTCACTGCTCATTTTCATGAGTAATTAGTGTTTGATGTAACATTTATTAAAGAATACATTGAAGGTAAGAATCAAAACTTTTCACTAGTGAGCGATTGTGATCAATACTTGTTTCGAGAAGTAAAAAATCGTGATCCACCTATGCATCGTTGTTTTGTCCCACTACAAATAATTATATATATATATGTACATATATATATACATACTCTCTATGTTTGCTGTAAATGAAATGGAGTTTTACACTTCAGTTGATGAATGTTTGAGTTTGTCTAAATGCAATAAAACCATTCTTTAAGCAATCTCCAGGAGCAATAGACTATTTCCTGTACAACTGTAAGTAATTACAGAACACAGGCAAGCACAACAGCCATGAAACAGCAGTAAAACCAAGCCAGGCAGTCGGGATTAGTCTGTGATGGCTCATTTAATGGCTACAAGCCATTTTATGTCTTGCTTTGCTTCTTAGAACCGTATTTTCTTGAGCATAATACACAAGGTAATCTTAACTCCTGGACAAAAAACAATGCCTATCAGAACAAAAAATACAATTTAAAAGGTAAATCAACTGGTGATTTTTTCATGGCAAATTTCAATTACTGACCGTGTTTCTTATCACCCTTTCGTTTACCGGAATTCGCTGAAGGGGTATGCAGTCATTTTTTTCTGCGCATGATATTCGAAAAAAAAGTTTTCCAAAATACTGAATCCGCTAGAGGGGGTTGCGTATTATACTTGGGTGCGCACTATACTCAAGAAAATACGGTAAGTGTATATGTAATTATGTTACTGTGGGCATAAAAAGCACCTGTTCCTCTTTTGAGGATAATTATTGTTGTGGAAACTGCATGTGTATATTTTTATTGTCTCAACCATGGAGAATTGGATCTTTTATGTCATTGTTTTGATCCAGGGTATTTCAGAATATTGTTCATAAGACCAGGACATGTTAATAACTTGAGTTTGAAGTCCATCAAGGAATTTCTTATCATAAGTGAAACAGCACCTATTTTATCCCACCTGGAAGAAAAAGGCCCATATCTCCAGTTTGCGATCACATATAAATATCCAGGGATTAGAAATTACCTCAGGGCAAGTCCTGTTTTACTCATAGACTCTGTTTGCCAAAACAATTTAAGTGTGTGAATGTTGGGAAGTCATCAGGGGAGGGACATATAACAGACTTGTCAACCAGACAGTATGACAGTGGGGGAGGTTTGACTTTAAAATGGGGGAGATTTGCCTCCAATGGGGGAGATTTGCCCCAATGGGGGAGATTTGCCTCCAAAGGGGGAGATTTGCCTCCAATGGGGGAGATTTGCCTCCAATGGGGGAGATTTGCCTCCAAAAGGGGAGATATTTCAGATAAGGAGATAATTTACAACTTTTTTTTTTCATTTTATAAGAAAACAATATATTTAAACACAATAAATAATAATGGTTTTATGCATAAAACTAGCTTCATATCCATTTGCAATATCCTCCAACAACTCAGTACAATCTGTCCCTATCACTTTCGTTCAAATATCATCTCTGATAAACGCAAACTGATGTTGAAATTGATTGCAACCGATGTTGATGACATGTTCAATCTTTCCAATTGTCAGGGTTCCTCATGTCTCAGGTTTCCTGAGTGTTTTGCATGATTTTGGTTACAAAATATGCCAATGAAATATCAAAAGCATGATTATTAAAATATATTGTTTTTTTCTGTCTGTGGTAGTCTGACTACTTCGCTTCATAAATTTCATAGAATTGTTCGCATTATTCCACTTCCAAGAAATGTATGCCATTTTTGGCAGTGCAATAACGTTTTACTACGATTTATGAATGAAATTTGCGTTGTTGTTATTGTTCACCTTTCTGACCTTGACGTGTATTAATCTCATTGGTTGACTTGTACAGTTGCATGCAAATTAGATTGCCGATCTGGGATGCTAGTAAACTAATTTGATATGGTTCAGTGTTTTGATATTTCTTTGCAGACAAGTAACGATATCAACCAAAAGGTTGATTAACATAAGTGCTACTTAAACTTTGACTTTGAAACATATCATATGAGCAACCCTGATTGTGTAACTCGTAATTTTGACAACCAAATCAACCAATCACACATTGTGGTTTCTGGAGACAACACTTGATGATCATATTTCATTTTCAGATCTGAGAGTTTAATGGTATAAGTTTGAGGTATATTTACGTTTTGACATAGTTTCTGATAAATCTGATAACCAATAAAGTCCAGTATAATTGGGCCAGACATATATATCTACGTTATTAAATTATGTAGGAATAAACACGCAAAGAACATGAAGAGAACAGTTCATTTTAGTTTGTGATAAGTACTCAGATGATTGTTCTTTTCAAGTTCAACCCTGCAGGAACCTGTTATGACTAGCCAAGGGTTTTTTACAGTGCAAATTGTTAAATCGTGCGTGATAAGGATTAGGCCCATCTTGAGCAAACAGACCCCCATCTGGGTTGCTAATTCGGGAGCCTCCCAGACAGATTGGGAGGTATACAGATTTAATCATAAAACTTACTCGTAAATTTTCGTAATTGTAAACTTCCTGTTCATTGTTATTATTTGTGGGACAAGGGAGGCGAATTTTGAAATGATGGGAAATGCGGGAGAAACAGTCTCTCATGCGAGAGAGTGGGAGATTTCGTCAAATTGCAGTCTTCTACACAATGCGGCTGGGTTGAATATTAAATACTGTCAGGTAAGTTTAGGTATTTGTAGTACATAGAAAAACATTTTATTTATAACTTTGTGTTGGGTTTGTGTGTGTGCTTGTGTTTAGTAGATGCTGTTGTCTACTACAGAATCTACAACCCAACTGTGCCAGTATCTAACATGTGTGTGGTTGTTTCAGGTGCTGACGCGAGACAGCGTGACGGTGTCAGTGGATGCTGTTGTGTACTACAGAATCTACAACCCAACCGTGCCAGTATTTAACGTGTGTGTGGTTGTTTCAGGTGCTGACGCGAGACAGCGTGACGGTGTCAGTGGATGCTGTTGTGTACTACAGAATCTACAACCCAACCGTGTCAGTAGCCAATGTGGAGAATGCACCAAACTCCACACAGCTCCTGGCTCAGACAACCCTTCGTAATGTTCTCGGCACAAAAAACTTGTCTGAGATTCTAGCTGAGCGTGAACTCATCAGCCACAGTATGCAGGTAGGTTCTGGAGAGATCACGAAACAAGACAAAAAAAAAACAGAATAAGGGTGTGAGTGAGTTTGATTTTACACCGCTTTTAGCAATATTCCAGCAATATCACAGCCGGGGACAACAGAAATGGGCTTCACACATTCTACCCATGTCAAGAATCAAACCCGGATCTTCAGCGTGACGAGCGAACGCTTTGAACCCTGAGGCTACCCGACCGCACCTAAAAAAACAAAGACTCAAACCATGACTCAAACCCCATGATCTTGGTATATCATTAAGTTGAACCCAGGGAATTCTGGGTAGGAAGTGGTGCCTAGCACCCTGGTTGTAAGAGCCAACACATGGATCAGGTGGTCAGGATCGGTGACTTAGTTGATGTCATCGTACCCCAACAGCGTGGATCGTTGTTCACAGTATCAATCACTGGATTGTCTGGTATTTTTGGGAAAATGGTGGCCCAGTCGTCTATGTTGCCGCAATCTGCTGCACATAATGACATCCCTTTGATAAACTCTCCACGACCCCACAAAACTGGCACATGTTTGGTGACAGGTGGTGGACCGATGTAGCCATAGCAAATTCTGTTAATAGCTGCACTGACATACCATACTCTCAGCAGTATAGGCAAAACTGTAAGGAGTATGTTTTGTCATAGCTTTGGTACAAAAGATATTTTTTCAATACCAACCAGCCACAAGGATTCTTTTATCCCTTATATATATATATATAGTCGACGCCTCATCTGTCTGTCTGTCCACAATCATTTCGTTTCCAGAAAACCGTAACTCGAAAACTGTTCAATATTTTTTAACAAAAATTGGCTTATATATCAAACAGGTCCTGAAGTGGTGCCTTTTGCTATTTAAAGATCTTTTGCATTTTCTTTTCTCGATTTCCATGGAAACAATTTGGACTTCGTCTCAAAGGTGTCATTTCCGGAGCACAACTTGAAAACTGTGAAAGACTTTTCATCCAAACCTAGTACATGTATTAATTAAGGGCTGAAGTGGTGCCTTTTGCTATTTAGGAACTTTTCAAAATTTCATTTTTACCTGTTTCCATTGAAACAGGTTAGATCTAGCTGAAGCGGAGGTAGGTGTCCTTTCTGGAGCAGAACTAAAAAAGTATTCAACATTTTTCATCCAAACTTGATTCATGTATTATAAGTTTAATTTTGACTCTGTTCATAGTGGTGTGTTTGTCTGGACCATATTTCCAAAAGTAATAGGTATTCTTTCATGACACTTCGCACACACAAAGACCTGGTTGTCAACTGGTGCCTTTTGCTATTTAGGGATCTTTGGAATTTATGTTTGTTCTGTTTCCATGGCAACAAGTTTGATTTTGACTCTGTTCATAGTGGTGTGTACGTGACATAGAAATACAAAGTTCCGAATCCCAATTCATAGTATTGTTTTGATAGCTCAGTAACTACTCTTGTATGTGGACAGGCAGATAAGATAGAAATTCTTTCATCAAGTAGGACTTAAAGTAACAGTCAGATGATTTGTTCTTTTGAATTTGTGGGGGCCGGGGGAATTTGTCGTCTTCTGATGACTCTTGTTTAATTTTGACCACCGGCTTCAGGTTTTGAGAATTAATCTGTAATCCTAACAATAAAAATACCGAATTGTTTTCTTGATATCTAATTGTTCACTGTTCACATGTTAATTATAAGTGACATGTTGTTTCTTCTGACAGTCCATGTTGGATGAGGCCACTGACAAATGGGGGATCAAGGTGGAGAGAGTGGAAATGTGAGTTACCATGGTTACCTAGTAGATTCGGTTTATCTCTGATTGCTTGTTACATGTTGTGAGTTGAAAATATCATAGCTATATATTTATCAATGTCATGTTATAATTTTAGGTGTCATTAATTTCAAAACAACTTAGCATAACATGACAGTTACACATGACTACTGGCAATATCTCCTTGGTTACACATGGCTATGACCAATATCATCTTAGTACCACATGACTACTGACAATATCACCTTGGTGACACATTGCTGTGACCAACATCATCTTAGTACCACATGACTACTGGCAATATCACCTTGGTTACACATGGCTATGACCAATATCATCTTAGTACCACATGACTACTGGCAATATCACCTTGGTGACACATTGCTGTGACCAATATAATCTTAGTACCACATGACTACTGGCAATATCACCTTGGTTACACATGGCTATGACCAATATCATCTTAGTACCACATGACTACTGGCAATATCACTTTGGTTAAACATTGCTATAACCAATATCATCTTAGTATCACATGACTACTGGCAATGTCACCGTGGTTACACATGGCTATGACCAATATAATCTTAGTACCACATGACTACTGACAATATCACCTTGGTTACACATGGCTATGACCAATATCATCTTAGTACCACATGACTACTGGCAACATCACCTTGGTTACACATGGCTATTGCATCATTGGAAATACCAGCCTTCCCAACCACTGAGACTCGGGCAGTTATCTTTTAGAGTTGAGGTGTTGTATGAAAATATATTTTTAGTGTCTTGATGATGAAACAATAGGTATGTTTGATTCACCGTGGTTCTCGCCTTTCCAGTAAGGACGTCAGACTGCCAGTCCAGCTCCAGAGAGCCATGGCAGCCGAGGCTGAAGCTGCTCGAGATGCTCGTGCCAAGGTTTGATACTTCAGAGTGGGAGATGAAGTTGTCTTTCATGCTCATCATTGTGTGTGCTCCATTTATGAAAAAAAATCCGAATTTTCAAAAAGTAAAAAGTAAAAGTAAAATAAATTCTGTCTCTACTGCCTTTTAACATAAACATGTATGTAACTGAAGAATGATCCCTAAAACGAATTTGATATTTTTGCTGACCTTGACCTTAATATAATAAGTAAGCTGGCCAGGGCAGCGAAGGCATTTGGAAAGTGAATAACATTACACTTGAAATCACGATTTGAAATCACCTGATATATCGAGCATGAAAAAATGATATTGTGATACATATCATGGAAAGAATGAACCTCAATTTACCGATATACCGATAATACCGCACACCCTTACTTGACAGTGTTATTGACCTTACTGCCATTGATATAGGTGATACTTATGCTAGCCTTGACCTTGAGTTGATGGTAGCCTGACACTGATGTGTGGTTCTCGCTGTTGTCAGGTGATTGCAGCCGAGGGAGAACATAAGGCATCCCGGGCTCTGAAGGAAGCGGCAGACATCATGGTGGACTCGCCAGCAGCTCTTCAGCTCCGGTATCTCCAAACCCTCAGCTCCATTTCGGCAGAGAAGAACTCGACCATCATATTCCCCCTGCCGATGGATCTGCTCAAGAACTTTATAGCCAAATGATGCTGCAAGGGCTACAGGCTGCTGTCATCTGATATCAAGCCCTTCATCCTGTTGGGCACAATTTCTTCATATTTGGATCTGTTATAATTTTTGGAATGTCCGCAGTGTCTTGACTGGAATACAAACAATACAGAACATGTTTTCATACAGCATACCAGACTTATTTCTTATTTATTCTTGGTCAGTAAGCATGAAACAGACTACATAAGTTCAATCTCATTAAAATCAGACCTTAGTTCTCGCTACCGCTAAACAAAGATCTGAAGACATCCCATTAAGGGTCACGTCAGAACAACCTTTCATCCGACTAATCAGTGTGTCGCTTACCAGATTATGAAAGTGACAGTCGGAATGTGATTTCTAATCAAATGATTGTTACGGGTTTAATGACTGAATCCTTACAATCTAGACCATCGATTAGCCATTCCAGAATGTTTTTTTGTTCAGGTTTCAAATTTGTAATCGAGAATTTGTCAAAATATGTTTTGAAGCGTAGTCGCCAATTCGAAATTTGTGCCGTAAAGCACGAGAAAGCTGCCTTCTGATTGGTCATTCCATTGGTCAGTCAAAGTTTGCACAAGGTCGGACTGACGTGACCCGTAATGGGATGTCCTCAGATCTTTGTTTAGCGATATCGAGAACTAAGATCTGATTTTAATGAGATTGACATAAGTTTAGCTTCTTCAGAGTTGGCTGGTGTTAAAAATCCAAAAAAATCCTTAATTAAGGTTTGAACAAACAAAACAATTTTCACATCACAATTTCAAATACAAATATTTTTAATTTTTTTTGCACACTTTTAGATTTTAAGTGATGAGTTAAAAGAAAATAATATACTCCCCCAAAGAACCCCCAATTCTTTCTTGTTATTATGAAAGAATCAGGTGTTCTTTAACTGCTGTTGAGCAGAATGTGTTGGTCGGATTCTGTATGATGCTGTTTTCAAGTCAAGGACTGACGATTAAGATGTACCATTTCACTGTCAAAGTGAAAAGAAATATGGAAAATGTGAATGCGTTTGTATATATATTTTCAGATTATAGTCTCCAAATATGGGAAATTGTGGCCAGATTTGTTGATGTTTTAATTGTATTGTTTTTGAAGGACTATATGAGTATAGATGCTGTAAACATTTCCATCAACCATGGTATGCTTGGACCATTTCTCAAAACAAAACATGTCTGCCTTTGGTTTATACTGCTCCTGTGTCAACAGGTTCCCGCAATTGCAATTTTGCTGTTCATACTCTGTGTACACACTTGTAAATATATATTGACGCATCTGTTTCTCTTGTACATAGCTGATGAGCTTTGTTGCTATGGATACAAGTGGGCCATATCCTAATGATGTTCTAGATTCAGCCTCATTTCTACAGTGTTCAAAATGTTTCAAAAAACGTCACTGGCCAGTATCAGTGTGAGTATAGGTTTATACCGTAAATCCTTGAATAGAAGCCTACCTTGAATACATGCAGGGTATGACTGACTCGTGAAATGATTAAGGGTTGGTCTTGAATAGATGCAGGGTCAAAAGCTATAAATCTAGATTGTCCTTTAGGTACTCAAGAAAGTGATATTACAATGCAAACCACACATTTATTTTAAATTACTTGTCCGGTGTTCATGGAAATAATAAGTGTTTATCGTAATACAAAAATAGATGCCTCCCTTGAATAGACACCAGGTGTAAGACGTCTCTGATATAAAAAATGGCCAGGATTTCTTGAAGGATTTACGGTAAGCCATTTTTAGCACTTTTCCAGCAGCATCAGAACATGGATACCAATGGTCATTTTACCCATGAGGGGACCAAACCAGGTCTCTGGTGTGACAGGCAAATACTTGACCCTGCCGACTGCCACCCAACTGGACATGAGGCCGAGAGAAATATTCTTCGTCTCAAAAAAAAGAGCAGAAAGTATTTCCCTTTTGTTCTTGTTTCTCGAGCCTTTGAATGAGAATTCTGACATCTATAAAACATTCGCCCGTTTCACACGGAGGAATAACCTCATCTCATTAAGATAGGTCTTGACACAATGCATGACCTCGCCATGTCAGCCGAACACTCAGATTAACTTTGACTGCCCCACTAATTTACAGAAGCCTTGGTTTTTTTAGCCAATCAGATACCAGCTTCCGGATGTGATTCGATTTCAATTGGTTACAACCTTGATTCTGAAATTTGATGATTTTAACAAAAAGAATCCAAGTATTCTGTATTCACAGATTTTGAAACTTCAAAATAAACTAATTTACTTTGATGGAATCGAAAATTGCTCTGTTGTACGGTTTTATGATAATTTAATGTTGATACAAAGTGATAATAATTATTCAATTTTGGACAAATAGATTGAAATCTGACATAATTGAATGCTTATGCTTTGAACAAAATGAGATATACATATTTATGCATGTAATATATGTTTGGAAACATGACGGTTGTATTTATGCAATCTATTGGTTTTTAGAGAACAATTTATTCTGTTTCTTGAGAAATGTTCTGGAATCGATACATTTTGCCTCCAGTTTTATGGGGAAATATGTTAATAAATATCAACTATACAGTCCCAGCGTGGTATCTCTCTGTTTTAACATCGTAAACATCAAGTTGTATAACACATCCAAGCATGGTATCTCTCTGTTTTAACATCGTAAACATCCTAGTTGTATAATGCCTTACAGATACTTGGTATACGATTCTGCCAACTTTACATATCACAAATTCAGAAAAAAAGATATAATTAGATTGACAAGGCTTTTTTTGTACTGCAAATAGTAAAGATTTTTTTTACATTCAAAATGACAATGAATTGTGCTGCTATCGCATTCTAGATTTGTAAAGTTATTGAGGACCCAAACCAGGCAAGGATGTTTAATTTTTCACCTACCGATCCAAGTTTTATATTATTGTTAAAATCCTGTACAGTTCATTTTATGAATTATCATTTTTACACCTACCAACCATATTTTTTACTATCAAAACCCACTCTAGTCTTATGAATATCTGCAAGATTGTTAATACTGTCAAATGAAACACTATCTTGGCACTGACCTAAGTATAAGGGTTGTATAATGGGTACCCGGATGGTATGTTAATATTGTCCATTAGGAAAGGGACTCAACAATGATAAACAACCAGATTGTATCATGGGTACCTGTAAGAATACCTGATCTAATTGTCCCAGTTCCATTACGCAACAGCTTCCTGATATATATTGTTACATAACATTACTTGACTCTCCACAGTCCCAAGCTACCTGTTATTTAATGGGTACCTGGATGGTTTTATGTTATTCCCTTGGACTGAAAAATCTAATGTCTCACTGTGTTTGGTTGTATCCTGGGTACCCGTGAGAATATTGTTTGTATGCCCTTTGACAGGATATCTTTCCCGTTATATTCTGGGTTCCCAGAAGAATGTTTATGGTATACCCCAAGACAGGGTATCTTTCTGGTTATATTCTGGGTACCCAGAAGAATGTTTATGTTATACCCCCAGACAGGGTATCTTTCTGGTTGTATATTGGGTACCCGGAAGAATGTTTATGTTATACCCCCAGACAGGGTATCTTTCTGGTTGTATATTGGGTACCCGGAAGAATGTTTATGTTATACCCCCAGACGGGGTATCTTTCTGGTTGTATAGTGGGTACCCGGAAGAATGTTTATGTTATACCCCCGGATAGGGTATCTTTCTGGTTGTATATTGGGTACCCGGAAGAATGTTGATATTATACCCCCAGACAGGGTATCTTTCTGGTTGTATATTGGGTACCCGAAAGAATGTTTATGTTATACCCCCAGACAGGGTATCTTTCTGGTTGTATATTGGGTACCCGGAAGAATGTTTTTAATATACCCTCAGCCAACATATCTACCCTATTTTAGTCTACTTGGTTGTGTTCTGGGTACCTGGCAGAATGTTTTTCTTATACCCTTAGACAAGATACTTTACCCTGTTCACATCTAAATGGTTATATTCAAGGTAACTTGAGAATTTTGATCTTATACCTTTGGACGGGGTACTTCCTTCCACTCTGTCCTGAACAACCCGGTTCTATTATGGGTACCTGGAGGGATATCTGTTAATTTATTGTTAACACATGCTGCCATGGTAAGGTTCTTTTACTGTCCTTACCATAGCCGGTTGTATAATGGGTACCCGGCGGGATGTGGTTATAATATATTCGATCAAGTCAATCTTGTTAACTACTGCCGAAATTCTATTACAATAGCAATCAGTTTTATTGTCCACTGCAACTCCTTTGATAATTTTTGAATGTCTAGTCCATGTTTTTTATTACTTTATGTATTTGCATTTTATTATTGCCTTTTATCTTTGTATGTACCCACTGGGTACTACCCAGTATATCCTTATCGACCAAATGCCAGTCAGCATAATACATGGTGCCTCCCATTGTTAATGTGGCAATATGAAGTTTTTCTGATGCTTTTAACAGGAAACTCACAAGTGTTGCCAGTAGGATCTCAAAAGTCCGTCTCTTTCATCTTCAGACTAATTTTTGCCAAAGCACCGGCAGAGAACTCTATTAATAATTGTGTCATGTATATTGGGAATTTAATATTTTGGTTCTGTAGTGCATAATTTATGAGGGGAATACTTTTTGTCTCTTGTGATTTCAGTCAAGCCCAAATGAAACAGAAGCAAAAATAGCTAGAAGTGGTGAATTATGTAAATGTTTTGCCATTTTTGATACTTGAGAACTGACAGAAACCAGGGCTTTAACCCTGATACAATGGATGAAATCTTGACGAACATAGACTGCCCTATCTATATTACAGCTGAAGTTGGCTTAATGCTTTTAACAGAAGGGCTTTGTTATTTTCTGACCGGTTTATTATGTAAAAAATGACACTTTTGTACTGACAGGAGGTTTCACAGGGGATGGGCAGTTAGTTAAATGCTGAATAATTTAATGGAAGAGATTATTTAGAATTCAGTGATCATGAATGTCATTTTACTCTTGTAAAAAAACAAAATGGACAATCATTTTGGGTAGAGTTGATCACCCAAAAAGGTCATATTTTTTTACTACATTCATGTATTACAACTCTCCCTTATCACAAATAGTCAGTCCTATTGGGAAGATGACAAAGTTTTCTGTTCTTTAATTCATAACATATGACAATTGTTTTAGCAAATTTCAAATTTCAAATTGAGGTATGTTAATTATGGTTTCCCATTATTTAATTGATCGTTTCTTTAATCTTATAAATTCAAAGATAATTGTCGTTTTTTTAATTTTTGGATTTATTAGAACTAAAGTTTTGAAAATCCTTACACTGCGGCATAATAAGTACAATGAGTGGTGAAGTTGTAAAAGTGGCTGCTGCTAGCGTGGTCGACTGCTCCCATCTGTATTTCCTACTTTGGTTAGTCAGTATATAAACAGTTTCAAGTGTTGACGGTTTCACTTAGACGAAGTATTTATGATTGTTTCAATGAATTTGTTGTTTTGTCAAAACACTTCTGTGAAATAAATCTGAGATTGAAAACATATCTGGTCACGTTTTTGATTTAGATGAGAAGAAATGTTTGGTCCTATTATATACATTTTTAGTTCTATTTCCCATCTTCCACAAGGGGAATAATCTACAATAACTACAGATCTGGGCTGGCATGTATTGTGCTCAAGTTCCTGACCCTTCCCCAACTCATTAAAGCCCCAAACAAGCCCCAGGTCAAGATGTCATACCGACACAATCTGATGTCACACCATCGACACAATCTGATGTCACACCATCGACACAATCTGATGTCATATACCATCGACACAATTTGATGTCATACCATTGACACAATCTGATGTCATATCATTGACACAATCTGATGTCATACCACTGACACAATCTACGATGTCCCACCACTCACAAAATCTATAATGTCATACCACTGTACACAATCTATGATGTTCAACCTCTCACAAAATCTATGATCTCATACCACTCACACAATCTACGATGTCATACTACTCACACAATCTATGATGTCATACCACTGTACACAATCTACGATGTCATACCACTGTACACAATATATGATGTCATACCACTCACACAATCTACGATGTCCCACCACTGTACACAATCTACGATGTCATTTCACTCACACAATCTATGATGTCATAACACTATCACAATCTACGATGTCATACCACTCACACAATCTACGATGTCATACCCTCAAACAATCTGCGATGTCAAACCACTTACACAATCTACGATGTCATACCACTGACACAATCTACGATTTCATACCACTGTGGGATGTCATATCACTGACACAATCTACGATGTCATACCACTGACACAATCTACGATGTCATACCACTCACACAATCTACGATGTCAAACCACTTACACAATCTACGATGTCAAACCACTGTACACAATCTACAATGTCATACCACTGCACACAATCTACGATGTCAAACAACTCACACAATCTACGATGACCCACAACTCACAAAATCTACGATGTCCCACCACTTACACAGTCTATGATGTCATACCACTGACACAATCTATGATGTCATACCACTGACACAATCTACGATGTCATACCACTGTACACAATCTACGATGTCAAACCACTCACACAATCTACGATGTCAAACCACTGTACACAATCTATGATGTCATACCACTGTACACAATCTACGATGTCAAACCACTCACACAATCTACGATGTCAAACCACTGTACACAATCTACAATGTCATACCACTGTACACAATCTACGATGTCATACCACTCACACAATCTATGATTTCATACCACTCACAATCTACGATGTCCCACAACTCACAAAATCTACGATGTCCCACCACTTACACAGTCTATGATGTCATACCACTGTACACAATCTACGATGTCCCACCACTTATAAAATCTATGATTTCAAACTACTCTCACAATCTACAATGTCAAACCACGACACAATCTACGATGACATACCTATCTCATAATCTACAATGTAAGCCATTGACACAATCTAAGAAGACACAACACTGACACAATCGACGATGTCAGACCACGACACAATCTTTGATGTCAAAACACGACACAATCTACGATGTCACACCACTGACACAATCTACGATGTCACACCACTGACAATCTACGATGTCACACCACTGACACAATCTACGATGACATACCAGTCTCATAATCTACAATGTCATTCCAATAGGGGGGCACGGGTGGCCCAGTCGTCTAAGGCGCCGCGATTCGCTGTGCAGAGTTGCGTCCCTTGGGCACGCCAGAAACCTATTATTGATGGTTCGAATCCCGGTTCGCCCCAATTATGTTTCTAGGTTTGTCAGCACCATACCCGTGCTCGTTGGTTTCACCGAAGTGGTAAACGTCTGAGACCTACATCACTTCGGGCTTTCCTCCCACATAAAGCTGACACGCCGTGATATAACTGGAATACTGTTAAAGCGGCGTTAAACCCAACTCACTCACTCACTCACTCACTCATCTCCAATAACACAATCTACGATGTCTCGCACACTCTCATGATCTACAATGTCTTGCCACTTGACAAACTGTATGATGTTGCACCAATGACACATCTACACCAGTGCCACAGACACAGTATATACCATGCTAGACCACTGATACAATGTCAGATGTCTTACCACTGTCACAGTACAAGATCTAATGCCTCTCACACAATATAAGATGTTTCAGTTTGTATATTGTTACCACGCCACACGGCAATATGTCCGCTATATGACGGATGTCTGTAAATATCGAATTAGACAAACCAATGGTTGATATTATGATCAACGTCCCACGCCGTCGACGTACTATGACATGGTTGTTGGTGATGGTTTGTTGTGTAACGCCGCACTCATCAATATTCCAGCTATATGACGGCGGTCTGTAAATAATCCAGTCTGGACCAGACAATCCAGTGATTGACATCATGAGTATCGATCCACGCAACTGGGATATGATGACATGTTTCAACCAAGTCAGCGAGCCTGACCACCAGATACCATTAGTCGCCTCTTACGGCAAGTATGGGCGCCTTTTCTAACCTATTCTAACGGATCTTCACGGTGACATGGACTCATTCATGACATGGAATCAACAACGTCACCAAGCCTGACCCCCTGCATGGCCCATGTCGCCTTGTACAACCAGTAGAGACTGTATCATGGGAAAGGTCCTTTTAAGGTCGTACCGCGACGAGCGTCGTACGTTAGTGTTTAAGTATGGGACTTATGATCGTCTCAGCGCTAAGATCGCTTTGTATACACTGGAGTACACAGTCTAAGATGACAAACACCTGATACTATTATGTTATTAAATGGCTGTTTTCATATTGGCCTTGTTACATTTTATGACATTTTTATTAATCAACTATCTTTATTTCAACAATCTTTCAAAATATGGAGTAAAAACAACAAACTATCTCATAAAATCAACACTGTTTACTCCATCAACATGTTCACAGGTTAAAAGATTTCAAACATTAACTATTAACAGTTTTAACAATATGCAAAATCACAACAATTAAATCTTCTGATGCAGGCCGATTTGGGCGTATTATAGTTAGTTGATTAATAAACTATCGTACAAAATGTCGTACAACGATAGAGTTGAATATTTCATACCACTTTGGAATTTTATCAACCTTTACCATTTCCCAAAAGTGATAAGGCATTGCTTTTGTCTTTTCCTTACTTCGTTTATGACCGGAAAGTTTTCAAATGTAGAGATTATCATTTGAGAACAGTAGGTCGTTATAGGAAGGCAAGAATAATTGATATAAACAGAATACGACCTCGTGACTTTATTGTTTCTTTACGTCACTTAAAAAATTACTTCGTGTTTAAATGTTTTGGTCACTGACTAAAACAGGGGCCAACATGTCACGTTTGCTGGCTCATGATGTCAATCACTGGATTGTCTGGTCCAGACTCGATTATTTACATGTCCAGATGACCAGGATCAAAGTTCAACAACACTTTGGGGTAAAATCGTCTAAGGCGTCACAATTCGCTGGGCAGAGTTGCGTCTCTTGGGCACGCGACCCGTAAAGATCCGGGGTAGAAGAGGTCTTTAGCAATCCATGCTTGCCGTAAATGGCGACTAGGCTTGTTGTAACAGGCGACTAATGGGATCGGGTGGTCAGGTTGAATTTCTATCTTTTCCAACTTAAGCAGGTTCTCAATTAAATCTTTATTTGAATTATATATATATATATATATATATATATATATATATATATATATATATATATATATATATATATACACACACACACACACACACACACACACACACAGACAGACAGACAGACAGATAGATACAATACAATGCAAGGCATATGTAAAATAATGAAATGAAATGGTTGCTCCCTGTGACGTGTATGAAATCGGGACGGTGGGGTAGCCTAGTGATGGAGGCGAAGACTTGCTCGTCACGCCGAAGACCCGGGTTCGAGTCCCCACATGGGTACAATGTGTGACGCCCATTTCTGGTGTTCCCCGCTGTGATATTGTGGGAATATTGCAATAGGGGCGAAAAACCATACTCACTGTATGAAATCAGTGACCAAACTTGTCAGGAAGGTGTACCAAATGTGTGTTCTTGGATAGAGAGCGGATTTCTATATATCAAATTCAGTGCAAATTTATGCATTATTTTCATGAACTGCAGTACACCATCTATGCTTTAATGCCTCCCCACTAAATAGGTATGCTTTGATCATGGAAAGTAAACTTTCAATAAGGATTCATATTCGGAAACGAACGTCTTTTGTTGTTTTTGGCATGGGAACGTATAATTTTCTGGATTGAAAACAAACTAACAATACAATAACATAGTATTTTTGTTTTTATAAATAGGAATTTGTTGTTTATTTCAAACATTGTGTTATTTGGTATAAATACGTTACATTGTATATTGCATTATACATTTTATTGTATAATGCATAAGGTCAGTTAATTGTCATAAGGTAACGCTTTGTTTATTTTTGTTCTTTGTAAAAAATATGAAAGTTATTTTTATAATAATAAAAAAATATTGTTTTATTGCTGTCAACGGAAGACTCGTCTTTCAAGAGGGGTTACAAATCAGGTTGATATTTGAAGCACGCGCGGTATGCGGGATGAACTACGGACATGATTGTGGTCAAAGGGAGACAACTCATGTTACGGTAGGCGTTCATAACAAACAAACCATATTCTAATGATATTCATGGACCCCCTTACGTTATAAAATAGATTATATATACATATTTTATGGAGCAAACAAAATAATGTAAAACACGTTTTTAAACTGACAAGGGAAATCAACGACAACGTTTCAATGACATGATAACGAACGGGCAACTGTCACATGTACTCTGGCACAGCGTTCACATTTGCGTGATAAATGATACGGTTACAAGATCAGTCACAAGTCGCAGTACGGAGTTGTGATAACCCGGCAATCATTTACTTCCGGTTACATTGGGGCGTGGTGATTCACTCCACAGCAGTTCAACGTAGAAAGCAACCACGGACTCCAATCTGCCGAAGGTAAGTAAATTAACTTGAAGTCCCTGGCGTATGACTTAAAACACGCATTGTTTTCCTCACTGGTTGTAATAGGGGCGAAAGTGAAGTGTCTGGAGACGATTTTATTATAAAATTACGACCGTTTTTTCTTGTTTGTTTCTGACGATTTGATCTGAGTAGGGATGGCAGGTGTTCCGCTTGAGCTCATCAGTTTGTGTCATATACGGTCAATTATTGTGTCTAGACGAGAGGGGAACAATTCACTGACACGAGTGAACTCCCCACACAGCTCCATCTACATATTAGCAGCTCGTTGCGGTTATTAGTCGCGGTCCTCACTGACGACAGTTCGTGAACAGGAACAAGAATATCTATTTCCATCGTCGACGTTGGTGTAAGTCAACGAAGTAGGCCTTGTTGAAGTAGACAGTGTGCTGTGAGTATTGTGGATATTATCTTGCTGTAGTTGCTGACACAATGAAATATCACGAAAACAGTGTATGATGCAGTATTGTTTTATATTCACCATCTCAACAGTATTCGACACACTGTATACATGTTTATCTTACAGATATTCCACATTAAAACGTTTGTAACTATGTTGAAATGTCAGTTTGTCAGTATGCTATAAACAGTTTAACTCATTAACTATTACCTATACATATCACAAAATAACATTGAAACGTTAATAGATCAAAAGTACCAGCAACTGTAAGATACATTCAAACATGTTGAACATTGAAACAACATTGTTACATATAAGTCCCAGGGATGGACTGTTCAAGCAGATATGGTATATATAAATGATATTTTCAGGATAAAGTGATAAGTATAAATAAAATGAGGCTGAACACTCATCATTCATGTTTACTCTGTGATACAAATGTTTAAGACATTATAGAAATCACAAAACACAACTGATGTGTTTACTGTGTTTACAGGGATATTTGCTTCTAATATTTGGATTGCTGTTTATCATGTTTCTCTTGGGGATTTTATTTAGACAATCAGGCTCTTGGTAATCTTTCATGCTTGCTCCAACATATTTCACAGGAATATGTTAAATTTGTAATGCCTGAATTACATAAAGGGTTTTGTTCATTTGCCGTCAGGAGAATGGCAATATATCCCAAATTTTGTGTCAAATCGTCAAAAATATTTAGTGTTGTGCTTCAAATCATGCACCGTATTTTGATGTTATTCAAACTCAAATTCTTGGAAGTCAGATGCTACCAGAGATGGCAGGCTGCAAAGATTATACTCAGACCCCATTTCAACATACGCTGTGTCTCAGAACACTCAAAACTGTTCTTATGGGTCCCAGAAATCACAAACAGATAGACCGAGGTAATTTCCTTACATAGTCACATGGATGTAAATTTATCATGTTTATAAACCTCATTCCATATATCAGGGATCTTTGACTGATGATACAGGAATGTGTGTCTTATCTGTGAGATGTTATCAGCTGTTGTATACACTATATCCCTGTGTCTGTCACATATCCTCCCAGCTAAAAGCCTTGGAAAACATGGAGGCAAGGCCTGGAGTGGAGTACTAGACTGGACTACAAGGTGTACGTTGCACATTAATACACACAAATGCATGACTCGGAGGAAGATATAATATCCTGCATCAGTGAACTACATCAACATTCGTATTTCAGATGAATAAAAATAAGTTTGGTTTTGTCTGTTTGTTTGTTGTTTAACATGTTTAACACCGCACTCATCAATATTACAGCTATATCACGACAATCTTAAATAATGGAGACTGGACCAGACAATCCAGTGATTGACATCATGAATATCAATCCATGCAATTGGGATATGATGACATGCATCAACCAAGTCCCCCCTGTAATACCTCTAAAAATAAGGGGGCGGTCGGGTAGCCTAGTGGTTAAAGCGTTCGCTCGTCATGCCGAAGACCCGGGTTCGATTCCCGACATGGGTACAATGTGTGAAGCCCATTTCTGGTGTCCCCCGCCGTGATATTGCTGGAATATTGCTAAAAGCGGCGTAAAACTATACTCACTCACTCACTCTAAAAATAAGAACTTTAAAAAATCCTAAATTTGAACAAAATAACATTGTTTCCCAGCATGCTTTGTTTGAAATCCCAGTGTACATCATACTTTAAACATAACATGACATCCTGAACAAAATGAACTCCCAAACTTCACTCCATGCCTCGACTCAACTCCCATGTTTAACTGTCTGGGTCGAGATGTTAGCGTGGTATAGCAACTCTTCCTCCTCCAGCCGAGATTAACACAGTCTAACATCCAGCACCACGAAAACCTTCAACAAAGAAAAAATATATTCTTGTTTTAACATGTTTAAGAGAGCAGCCATTTGATTTGACATTTAATACACACCATCTGCAAGGACAGTCACATTATTTTGCAACATGACGCAAGGCATTTCTTTTTTTGTAAAACAGGGTCTTGATTATTTGTTGAGAAACATCTGAAATGGTCAAAATATCAATGATTGCTACTTACTGTGGTGGAACTGAAGTCTATATTTGACATATACTAGAGATTTTTAAAAAACATTAGATTTTTGTAATATCTGGCAAAATGGCCTTAAAAATCAAATGAGTTCTGGGTTTCTGAACTAATCAAACACAACAATGTCATTGTAAGGGTTCGAATTTCATTTGATCATTCATGAACAACTCGTGTTATTCCGGGACAAGCCGAATAGCGACTTGTGCCCCTCTCATGGCCATATTTGTGACCGGGTTACGTCTTAGCGCAAACGGGCATACCTAAAACAATTGTCAATTCGTTGCGAAATGGTTCACATACATTTCAGAGCTCCAGATAAGCTTTTGGTGTTGTGGGTATTTTACCCATGCATTTTAAAATCATTGGGTATCAGTAATTCTATCCGGGTATTCAAATTTTTGTTACCCACTAGTTTTTACACATGTGGGTATTTAAGTTAAATATTTAAAAACACTATTCATCTAGGCCCTGCAAACTGGTGTCGTGTGGGTTCGAGAGCTTTATAGGACTCAAAAATACCACGATACTTCCACAAGAAAGTGTGATGGCAAATGATCATGATGTAACTGTCATCATGGAGTTTGGCAAGGTTGACGGAATGCCCGTTTATAATTTCAAAAAAAGTTGCTGATTTGCTAATCGAATACGCAGGGTTACTACACAATATTTTGAAGATACGCACAAATTTTATTTTTGTAGCGTATCTGTAATGTCCGTTGCGTGTTTGATACGCTTGAATTTTATTTTACTGCATATTTCTGCATTTCCGATGCGTATTTCACGCAAATACGCAGCTTATCTGTAGCTCTGCATTTCCCCATATATTACATATATTTCAGATGCAATTTAAAGCACATCGGGACGTACGGAATTATACAGTATGATTGAACACATTTAACTGTATCTTGGATATATTTTTAGATGCAAGACATATGTAAAATTAAAAATTATTTCTGAGGGATTCTTTGACAAAGTACTTGAAATCATACACGCATTCTGATTGGTTTGTTGTATTTTCGCACATAACATTCATCGATAGGGGGACGAGTCTTCTTTCAGGTTACGGAAAGGGGCGAATGGTGACGAATGTCATTCGATGTGTTTAAATTTAATTTCAAATGGAAAATGAGTCAGTCTGGTGTTATGCGAAACATGTCAGTCCTGGAGTTTCCTTGAGCTGCTTTCATCAATATACTTCTCTCATACGTCCGGGGTGATGAAACATTTGCTTCACATATTGACCAGCATCAGATCAGCTCACATTACAGGACATTAATTGTTATTTATCCAAAATGCCTTGAAGATTATTTTCCTATGTAGGAGAATGTCTTATCAGAATTGGGGCGGTTGGGTAGCCTAGAAGTTAAAGCATTCGCTCGTCACGCCAAAGACCCGGTTCGATTCCCGACATGGGTACAATGTGTGAAGCCCATTTCTTGTGTTTCCTGCAGTGATATTGCTGGAATATTGCTAAAAGCAGCGTAAAACTATACTCACTCAGAATTTGACAAAGTCTGAAATGTTCTAATCTTTGTCTCCGGCATGATGACTCCCAGTTCCCAGTAGCTTCAGAGTGATGTGACTGTAGCTTGAACTGCTGGGCTGCCCCATGCCTCCATCAAGGAGAAAATATAAACATTGTAGATCACAATGTAGCCTTGCTCCAAGGCCGTTCTGAATGATATGTCCATGGATGTGTAGTAATTCTATGCTTATAACAGGCAAGTCTAGATAAGGGGTCAGTACAACTGTCATTTATGGGGCCAGCCTGTTCTTATTATTGATATAACCTAGGATTTATGATTTAAACTACTAATTATTGCCTTAGAGACTTGTGTAAGCCTAAGCCCACTATTAACATAGCAGCCAATGTGGTAGCATCTGTGTCTTCTCATCAACCATTGCGGTAGGACAACTTTCTCTTCAGTCACCAGCTGGCTCTCTCACAAACAAGGACATTTCACAGCTATTCTGTCACAAATTGGAATCCTCTCTGTTATTACACATTTTACAATTCTGGTTCATGAATAACTTGCTTGCATTAAACATATTAAACAAGCACTTTTGTTAACTTGTACCAGAGGTCATAAACACACTGAATCAAGGTCAAGGTCAGCATTGAGATTTTTGTAGAACATGTAGAACATGTTATATCATTGCAGGGTATGAAACTCCCAAAAAAATTCAGCCAGACCACAGGACTGGCTAGCTGAAATACTTGCCAGCCCTGACCAAAACCTGCCTGCCCACTATAATCGTATGTTTCTCAGGATAATTTAATTAAAAATATGAAAACTGATTGCTTGTAGCATAAGCGCATCGCTAAATGTTAGGTTGTCTAAAAGCTAACGGGGTTTCTTTTTGGTTACATTTTATCATTCATCTTTACATGTGAATTAATGCTTATCATCGAGAAATATTTAGAATATTGTCACCTATGAAATATAACCCGACCGTCAGGCAGGGGGATTTGATAATCTGACAGCCCGAGTTGAAATCAACCCGTCTCATACGGTCAGGCAGGCAGGTATTTCGAACACCGATCATTGTGGGTTTCTGTGGCATGGTAACTTCTGGTTCTACCTGCATGAACATTTGTTATTGTACTTATTGTCTTCCTGGGGCGGTCGGGTAGCCTAGTGGTTAAAGCGTTCGCTCGTCACGCCGAAGACTCGGGTTTGATTCCCGACATGGGTACAATGTGTGAGGCCCATTTCTGGTGCCCCCAGCCGTGTTATTGCTGGAATATTGCTAAAAGCGGCGTAAAGCCATACTCACTCACTCTTAAGGTTCGAAGTCTGGAAGTGTAGTTTTTACACTGGAAGTACATGGTATGTGAGGCAGAGGGAGTTTTGAGGAAATGACAGTGAAGGGGCTGTTTCAGTTTCAGTTTCTAGTTGATTAAGGAAAGTAGTTCTGTGCACCTCTCAACAACATGCCAGCTATATTACCTAGTGGTTACGGGCAGAATTGGTCTTCAGCAACCCATGCTTGCTGTAAAAATCGACTTTGCTTGTTCGTAAGAGGTGACTAACAGGATCGTGTGATCAGGCTAGCTGACTTGGTTGATGCATGTCATCGTATCCCAATTACGAGGATCGATGGTCATGATATTAATCACTGGATGGTCTGGTCCAGACTAGATTATGTACAGACTGTCATCATATGGCTGGAATATTGCTGAGTGTGGCGTTAAACAACAAACCAACCAAACCATGATTACAGTGGTTTGTACTTAAAGTCTGGGCCGGGCAAGTCAGCTGAGAACATGAACAGGGTTTCAGATGGGTTCATTTTCCAGGACATTGTCATCCTAAAATGTCCTTAAAATGTTCGGTAGCGATTTAGAAGAATGTCCTTTCAATATTTTAAATAAAATCATTAAAAATGACATCAGTATTTAGCTTAAGGAAAAGAATATATGGATGTCAACTTCTTCATTATGAGGAACACAACGTTTCGGAGTATATGCTTACTCATCAGCTTGTTTTGCATTAGTATTGATACAAGCTGTTGTGGTCAGTGCCAGGTCACAGTGTAACGATGAGAGAGTGAGTGAGTATGGTTTATGCCGCTTTTAGAAATATTCCAGCAATACCACGGCATAGAAACCAGACATTGGGCCCATGTGAGTTATCGAACCTGTTTTTTTACATGACAAGTGAACGCTTTAGCCACTAGGCTACCTCACCGCCTCCACACTAGAAATAACCACAACCTCATGTGAGCCTCTACTAGAAGTGAATGGTGGGGACAACTCCAACTAACAAGATCACTACGTCCACATCCTCTAAATAGGCTTCACCAAAATAAATAAATAAATCTTTTATCTTAAGTTTAAATTTCATTCCACCATTGAACAGAGGATTTCCGTAAATGTCTTAATGCTTCTTCTCCCATGCTCTGGGAGTGGTGACTTGATAACCTTAGCCCAGATTGGTATCTGCAGATAGGCTAGAAGAAATAAAACTCCATCTATCTTGGAAACAGGAAGCTCTTTAGCACACAGCCCTTTCCTAGCAGATGTGCTTGGCAACTCTTTCACTGTGTGGAATGTGTAACATGTTTAAGATTCTCTGTGATAAGCCTTCACATCATTTCAAATCCTGCCTGAAATGAAAGATAATGACCTATCAAGTAATGTAAAGTAAGGCCAAAAAAGTTTATGTTCTAGTTTTACGGACAAGCCTACATTCAACTTTGTCAGTAAAAACAACATTCAGATGCTGTATTTGAATGATAAAATGAGCTTTTAAAAATTCTATATGGAGAAACTTGATCTCAGGTAACCATGTTTAACATTATCTTAATATTTGTTTTGGAGCAGTGGGGTAGCCTTGTGGTTTAAGCATTTGTTTGTCACACCGAAGGCCTGGGGTTGAATCCCCACATGGCTGCAATGTGTGAAGCCCATTTCTGGTGTCCCCCGCCATGATATTGCTGGAATATTGCTAAACGGTGTAAAACCATACTCACTCATTCACTAATATTTGTTTTTGCTTCTTTTCTCTTGACAAGAGTTATAATGGTCTAAAGTAAAAGAATATTAATAAAAAATAATCCGCATGTTTGATAGTAGAGCTGAGTATCACCTGGCATCTTGCGATACGATTCGTATCATGATACGGACTGACAATACTACTGGTATCACGGTACACCACATCAAATAGTTAGAAATGATGGAGGGATGGTTATTAAATGTAACAGTTAGTCAGCGTGTCCTCGGGTACCACGTCCTCATGTTCTGCCATGCTTACAGGTGGCGCTGTGCTATTTCTGCCATTATGGGAGGTAATGGACGTAAAGTTCCTGTTCTATTTATAGCATGTTGCGATCTCACAACCCGACATTCAAATGTCGTGTACCTAAGTATTAATGATATTGTAGGTATCTTTGAATCGTTACAGCCCTATTTGATAAGTTTCCAGCTGTTGTCATGGTTACTGAATAATTTTTTTTCTAAAAATATCTAACGATAAACATGATAAATGACAAAATATTTGTTCAATCAACGCAGTATGGTATTTTTTCTTCCTCTTGCGAAATGTAGGGTTGCTTTGTCCGTAAAACTAGAAGAAATTTTTTTGTCTGGCCTAATGAAAAATACCACATTGTGAAAAAACCTAATGAAGGAGTTTAAACTTGTCTTAATGTCAACAACATCAGCAAGATTAGTGGGTAGCAGATGTACACTTGACAGCCAGGCAAACAGCCCTGGGTATGTGATGAGCCTTACAAAGCAGTGCTGTGGTTGTTGTCAATCCTTGATCTGAATTAATCAGGCCACTCACTTCACAACCTTCCCCAGTATGTGAAATAGCCCACTGGTGTGTCATAAAACCAGCCTTGTTCCTTGGGCTTTGGTACAGATATAAAGTAAACATCATCACCTTTCTTTGGTGAGGTTGTCACTATAATACATGGCTGAGATACTGCTGATGTGACGTCAACTGTTATCTCACTCACTCACTCACTCACTCACTCACTCATACACCCACTCACTCATACACTCACTCACTCACTCACTCACTCACTCACTCACTCACTCTAATCCAAACTAATCCTATTTCTATAGTGTACCGGGTTGTACCCATGTATCAATGTAGTCCAGCAAATACAATTTTATGCTTTTTACCCACTTAAACTCTAGTTTCATGTAAATAAAAAAATGCCCAAATAGTATTGATTGAAATTTATTGAATTAATATGATGGTAAGACAAAACACTCCTACTTGGCTTGTAAAAATTGTAGAACCACCATGAGGCAGGGACCTGGCTTGTTAAAGTAATTAGTTAGAGGGGAACACCAGAAATGGGCTTCTTACATTGTATGAATGTCTATCTTTGGTGTTACGAGTGAACGCATTAAACCACTAGGCTACCCTGTCACCCCTGATTGGTTAACAAAGCCCAGTAGACTATGTATGCCAAATGTGAACAATGACGTGTGATTAAATACTCAAGGGCTCAAACAATTGTCTTAAGGCAAGAATAATTATGTATACTGGTCCACTTTTGATTGGGATATGACTGCCTCCATGGTCAAGTGGAAGAGCGTCCGCCAGGAGATAGGAATGTCTGGTGTTTGATCCCAGGCCATGCCATACCAAAAGACGTTAAAAGATGGTACTTGTTGTTACCCTGTCTGGCGCTTGACATTAAGGGGCTAAAACAAGGACTGATGGGCTCCGAGTCAGTATACTGTGTTTGAGAGGGGTATTCAAGTTAAACTGCGGCATTGTATCTCAGTGTGCTAGCACTATAAATCGACACCAGTCTTGACTAGTACAAGCAGCCACACACGCACACGTGCATGCATGTCGCTATAATATTTGATGCGACGTTAAACCCCATTTAACCTCACCGGATAGGAATATATATGTCTTTAAAAAAATATAAATATTATGTCGCATAACTGATTATCCCTATGAAAGTTGAGCATTATAGCATAGAAGCTTACATTATTCATAAACAAATGTTCTTTATTTTAGACTAACCTCGTAAGATGAGCACAAAAGCTGAGTTTGCAGATGGCGCCACATTTGTGGAAGCCATGAAGTCAGTTCGGAGTGATGATACAGGCGACTTGTTCCTTGTGGTTGGACACATAGAGGGGGACCCAAACCGCCTGGAGCTTGTGACAGTGGGTCAGGAGACGTCACAGGTTGTGGACTTCCTCGAAGATGATCGGGTGATGTACGCCCTGGCGAGGTACAAGACCAAGTTTGATATGTCCACCACAGTCAAGTTTGTCTACTTCCGGTGGTAAGTTTAGAACCCAACCTCATTATAACACACTCCATTGTTCCTTTTTTGTTTTTGTTTTGTTTTATTTGTTGTTTTATACCACACACAGCAATATTCCAGCTATATGATGGCGGTCTGTAAATAATCCAAACTGGACCAGACAATCCAGTGAATGACATACTGGGCATTGATCCAAGCAATTTGGAAACAATGACATGCATCAACGAAGTCAGTGAGTCTGATCACCCAATCCTGTAAGTCGCCTCTTACGACAAGCAAGGTTGCTTTTTACGGCAAGCATGTACTAGTTGCTGAAGACCTGTTCTACCCCGGATCTTGACAGGTGCATATCTCAGGCACTGTTTTCCATCCGCTGTGTGGTTGCTCAAAGCTCACATATTACCCTAGTGAATAAATCAGTGTGCACTCAACAATCATTCTCAGCTCCCAGGGGAGTATACAACCCAAGCTGCCTGAACAGCGCTAGAAAGTTAGTAGCCACATTGCCATCTCATCCTACCGGGTACTCATCCACTGCCAGAACAGGGGTGAACAGAGGCACATTTCGAACAAAGTCACTTGCCCAAGGAGATTCCACATGTGTTACATGTGCTTAAGTGTAACCATTCTAACACATTCTAGCCTGTTATGTGGCCACGTGAGATTCTCATGATAGTGTTACAACTGATGCATGGAATCTTCAAAGGAATGACCCAGTTGCGATTCAAGGAAAGAATAGGTACTCACTCATAGGTACTCATGGATTCTGGGTTGGAATAGGTCCGCAGCAACTTTTACTGGTCATTAGAGGCTTCCAAGTGGATTGAGTGGTCAGGCTCGATGAATTTGTTGTTAGCATGTCCTCGAACCATAATGTCATGCTCACAATATTAATCACTGTATTGTCTGGTCAAGACTTGATTATTCCCATGAAGATCCGGGGTAGAATAGGTCCTCAGCAATCCATGCTTGTCGTAAAAAGCGACCATGCTTATCGTAAGAGGCGACTAACAGGATCGAGTGGTCAGGCTTGCTGACTTGGTTGATGCATGTCATCATATCCAATTGCATGGATCAATGCTCATGATGTCAGTCACAGGATTTTTTAGTCCAGACTTGATTATCTAAATATTTCTGAAAGCTGTGTAAAACAAAATACACTCACTCAGTTGGTACGCTAGTTAAAACAAACAATATATATTGTAGGATAGGTGAGCAGGTGCCTGTGACGAAGAAGGGTCGTTTCGGTGTGGTGCATGGCAGCGTGGTCGAGTGGTTCAACCCGTACCACATGATGGTAGAGACCAGCAGCCGAGAGGACACCGAGGACAGCAAGATCCTGCAGCAGGTACACCTCAGTCTGTGGACACTAGGTCACAGGGCACATTCAACAACCTCAGTCTGTGGACATTAGGTCTTGGGGGACATTCAACCCCCTCAGTCTGTGGACACTAGGTCTTGGGGGACATTCAACCCCCTCAGTCTGTGGACACGAGGTCTTGGGGCACATTCAAGCACCTCAGTCTGTGGACACGAGGTCTTGGGGGACATTCAACCACCTCAGTCTGTGGACGCTAGGTCTTGGGGGACATTCAACAACCTCAGTCTGTGGACACTAGGTCTTGGGAGACATTCATGCACCTCAGTCTGTGGACACTAGGTCTTTGGGGACATTCAACAACCTCAGTCTGTGGACACTAGGCCTTGGGGGACATTCATGCACCTCAGTCTGTGGACACTAGGTCTTGGGGCACATTCAACCACCTCAGTCTGTGGACACTAGGTCTTGGGGCACATTCAACCACCTCAGTCTGTGGACACTAGGTCTTGGGGGACATTCAAGCACCTCTGTCTGTGGACACTAGGTCTTGGGGGACATTCAACCCCCTCAGTCTGTGGACACGAGGTCTTGGGGGACATTCAACCCCCTCAGTCTGTGGACACTAGGTCTTGGGGGACATTCAAGCACCTCAGTCTGTGGACACTAGGTCTTGGGGCACATTCAACCACCTCAGTCTGTGGACACTAGGTCTTGGGGGACATTCAAGCACCTCAGTCTGCAGACACTAGGTCTTGGGGTACATTCAACCACCACAGCCTGCAGTCCACTAGGTCATAGGGCACATTCAAACACCTTGGGCCTTGTCTTCGATGTTAAAGTGCCAGTGGCAGACAAATTGACAATGTCAATCTAAGTATTGATTTTCTCTCTATTGGTCCTGTTATTATTGAAATACAAGTAACCTTTATAGAAAATATATTAATATTGATTATGGTGACCTGAATTTGGAAATGTTTATTTCAAAATTGTATAGCGCAGCTCAGTCTAACACATTTTCTTTATATCCTAGCTTGAAGAGGCATCAGGAACCAAGTCCAAGGTCATTGAGAGTACGGAGGGCAGACAGGAGCGAGGCTTCACTGCCTCCCAGCTCCCAAAGCGAGGCCCCACCAACAAGTTTGGGGTGAAGGATGTACCAAAGGAAGGGTACGCTGTGCAGGTGTCAGACTCGGTGTTTGAGGACATTGCCGAGGTTCGCAACGATGAGCTGCCAACGAGGTGGATAGTGGTTCAGTACAGAGACTCTAACCCCAAGGGACCAATAGACAGCTGTGAGAAGGGGGATGGGGGTGTTGATGAACTCAAGGCGTGTCTAGAGCCAGATAAAGCCATGTACTCGCTATACAGGGTTTCCGATGTCGTGGATGATATTGTCACAGTCAAGTTTGTGTTCATCACATGGTAAGTTGAAAATGAAAAAAAAAATAGTTATAGCAACATCAAATATTTTTCATGGTATTTATGTGTTGATACGAATATTCCTAAACAGACTTTGATATTTACAGACTGCCATGACATAGCTGGTACTCTGATGACTGGTGAATTAATCCTCATCCACTTGCTCACACACAATACAATGTGTAAGATAGTATGTACCGGGTTCTCCTCACTTTGCCACCACCTATTGTTTGGAATAGGTGATGCAGGCATGGGTATTGATTGTAAGGACAATAAGAGTCCGCAGGGCTCATCTCAACACTTTATTTCACATTGGTAGATAACTACACATGTTATACTGCATGTTATACAGATTATTTTAAGATTTTTTACTTATCCTGCATTACTCCTTAATGCATATTACTTGCATGTTCTTGACAGAAAAAAGAGCTGTGTGAGAGGTCTTTGCTTGAAGAAGTTGTTTCAACCAGCTGAGAGGCCAACCCTATCACGCAGCTCCCACGGGACCAAAGGAAGTGACGTCACGGATCCTCACATTACTCTTGTCACTTGCTGAGTGAAGACCTGTGTTTTTTGCTGTAGCATAAACTGATTCAAACCCTCACATGTTTGCTCTTTGAGTTAATGTTTATTGTCTTTGTGTTGTGCCTACGGTTTGTATCTCGTACATTCTATGTTTGATAAACATGTGCATAACCTTATTAGACAGTGACTGGCGTTTTCTCAAAAGAAAACATAATGCCATGTGTCTTGTTGTTTCAAGTAGCCATCTTGAATATTTTACGTGGCCAGCGAGTTAATGAGCTGGCTTGCTTTCTATATTCTTTTTGCTTGGTACCCCACGATTGGAGTATACTTGCAAGGATGTTTGTTTTTCATTGTATGTTGTCTTATGTTTGTCGTAATAATTGTTTCATAAACCCACGCAGTGGGATTAACATATTATAGCATACATAATCGGGCGGGGACGCATTGTGATTTTAAACTGCTTCATTGCAGTGACCTCCAGGGTCACCGATGTAAAGACTGTTTACTGCGTTCACCCACAGCCTTCAGTCAGTATCTCCGTGTGTCTAAGAAACGCAGAACACAGCAGGCCAGGAAACCCCGGCGCAGGATGTCCGACCTCACCGAGAATTCGCCTACCAGATCGGCCATCTCGGATGACTATCCCCCTGACCTCAACTGCTACCTTGATGTCAGTTCCCTTGGTCTCAGTCTCTTTACGGCGGCATCCACCTTGACGCCCGGCGTGGCACTCACTTACCAAACGGCGCCTATAACATCAACCGGGCAAACACTCGGGCCCCCACGGGCGCCCCCTACGGCACAGACGCCTACGGCACAGATGCCATGATAGACGCCTCGCTCCTTCAGTACTTGCAGGCCATGCAGACTTTGACGCCGGCGCCCTTACTGACGCCTCTACAAGCGTCTCCTATAGCGCCTCTGACGCCTCCTCAAGCGCCTATACAGGTGGCGCCTATCTATCCCACAGCGCCTCTACCCCGTGTGGTCGATCGACTATACAGACGTCTACTTCTCGTTACTCCGTGGATTTGATGGGATCGAACCACTCCTCAGTTCGAGTTCCAGATAGCAAGCGTGCCTACGTGGAGACTGAGATTCACCACACGCTCAAACCTCTCTCCTTCATGGCGTTGTCCTCCAGAGCCCTACTGCAGAACTTATCAGAGGATAACCCTAACAGGCATGACCACCTGAGAACGGTCGTATCCTACCACCAACATCAAGTGGAACACATGCGCTCTCACATGCGCGCCGCTCTGATCGAGCTCACAGCCACTAGACGCCTTTGGTACCTTGCCTTGATGGACTGGGACCTATAGTTTAAGAGAGACCTTCTGCGCCAACCTTGGTCTGGCTCTGACCTCTTAAATGGACAGATATCCAAGACGCACTCCTGGAAGTCAGCCTTCGCCCGAGATGAGACGGTGCTCAAGGTCAGGCCAGGATGTCACAGCCGGCCTTTGCTAAGATGTCCCTGTCTGGCTCTTACCAGCCACGACGCAACACCCTCCAGACTTTTGGGCGGGGCTCCACCTCAACCTCTCAAGGTAGAATAAAAGAAATTCCTCTTGCGCATACCAGTCCCGCCGCGGCCACCCCAAGGGAGGTAACGCCAACCACAGGGACTATAAGTGAATTGCCAGACAGGCACGACTGGGACCTTCAACCCACAGCCTTCCAAGTTGCCGACACTCCAGTAGGTGGGAGACTGCGTCGATTCTGGCAGAATTTGGAGATCCTGGGGGACCCATACCTCACCAGCATAATCCGGGTACAAGCTGAGGCTTATAGACGACCCGCCACTCACATTGTTCCCCATAGTGGACACCTACCCCCCTACTCAGCAGCAGCTACTGAGCCACAACATCACGGCGCTGCTGGACAAGGAAGCCATAGAGGTCATACACATCCCAGTCATAACACCGGGGTTCTATTCACATGTCTTCCTAGTCCACAAGAAGGACTCGGACAAACACAGGATGATCCACAACCTCGCCGCTTTCAACAAACGCTACCTGGCATGTCCACCTTATTTCAGGATGACCACGCTCGGGCTACTCTGATCCCGAATCCAGGCACAGGATGCCACCACTACCACACATCACTGACCACGCCTCCAAGTCCAGAACCGGCTTTCGGCCTCCTCTTGCATATGCCCGGGACAAGAAGGTTCATGTCCCACTTGCATATGGCTCGGTACTCCAGTCTAGACCCAACCGAGAGTTATTGTCAGGCTGCACAGTACCAGGACACAACGCATACCTGGCTCTTCCCTTCCATGTAAAGGTCATCCAGGCCGACCATACAGCCGAAGACAGGCTGAGGGAAACGGAGTTTTCCCATACATGGAGTGGTCACCTGATGCCGACCACACAGCCGAGGACGGGCTGAGAGAATTGGAGGTTCCCATACATGGAGTGGTCACCTGAAGCCGACCACACAGCCAAAGATTGGCTAGGGAACAGAGTCTGGAAATAAAAGATGAAAGTTCACAAACTGAAGGTATGCCCTCCTTCGGTTCCGTCTGATAAAGATGCATTAAGGAGTAATGCAGGATAAGTAAAAAATCTAGTAAAATCCTAGATATTTTTTTATATTTGTATACTTATCCTGCATTACTGCATCTAAAGGGACCCACCCATCGCAGATCTACCTCCCCACGATGCCTTCCGATGTTTCCGACTCCAGAGTAATGTGAGGATCTGTGACATCACTTCCTTTGGTCACATGGGAGCTGCGTGATAGAGTTGGCCTCTCAGCTGGTTGGAACAACTTCTTCAAGCAAAGACCTCTCACACAGCTCTTTTCTCTGTCAAGAAGAAGCAAGTTATATGCATTAAGGAGTAAGGAGTAATGCAGGATAAGTATACACATGTATAAAATATCTTGGATTTTACTAGAATTCATACATTCATACATTGCACAGCAAATAATCTGATGTGTCTACATGTCATTATCAATTATTATTACATGTATTAATCCATACACTACACAACACATAATCAAATTCAAAATTACAAATTCAAGTCCAACAAAATGTGAAACAGAATCTGCATATTGTACAGGTGTCAAGAAGCTGGTAGTTTTCGCGTTGGAGACGGTGTTCTAAATCTCTATACTTTAACAGATCCAAGGAATTTATCAACGGCATTCATGGAATGGTTTTGTTGATGGTTGTGGGCTGGGTTAATGGTGGTAATCAAATCATGCGCTGTGTTGATGGTTGCAGGGCATGTTGCAATACAACACTTCCAGTGTACACTGGCACCTCGAGTCCTCTTAACTCGGTACTTATGACCCCCATAAAGGCATATACAAGCCATCAACCGCTCATACATGTCACATAACGCATACGTTCACAACAGTAAGATAATAATACATTTTCAAACTAATCCTATCTCACACTATTGATTTCTTCCTCCTTCTTTCGATCCATGTGTGGAAATGTCCTAGAACAAAGTTTCTCGTGGAAAACGATGTTTACATTGAGAGGATCTATTTGACAACAGGAACTGTCCACAACAATCACAGCAGTTTAAGTGAGGGTCTGCTGTCAAAATGTATGCTTACTTTTTCTTCAAAATGGGTGTTTGTCCATATTAAACTGTCTGAGATGTTGCAGTTGTGCAAGGAAGATTCCCCTCCTTCAAACAAAATATAATTCTCATAAACTTAAAACACGTCCCCACACCGTGGCAATGAGAAAGAGAAGATGTATGTCAGGTGATCAGCTCGCTTCGAGTGGTATTGCAAGGTGCATGTTCCATTGTTCACTTGGTGACCATGGTGATGTTTGGATGTGTTCAGGTGAAATGTTTTTAGAAGCTGGAAACTTTGTTTGAGGATGTTTCCACACCTGGATTGAAAGAAGAAGAAAAAAATGCATTGTGGGAGATATATTTACTGCAGTCGAGTTCATGTGTACTTGATGCCTGCATTTGATCAGTTAATATTGATCTGTGAAAACATACAAGTACGCAATCTGCAACGGCTACATAGTTTAATTATGCACATTGTCATTATACAAAATTTTCATGCATATTTCTGAGCAAGCAGCTAAAAATTAATTGGGTTAAAGTGATTTATTGTGCACATTTTAGGCAATTAGGGAGCTTATCTGGAGCTTTGTGTGATATATCTCTTTCTCAAACAATGTTCACTCACTCACTCACTGTCATTAGTTAAGCATCTATAAATGTGGGTGTCCAATTGAAGAACTGTCTGACTTCAGGGTGGGCACCAAGGTCAAGCCAATGGCAAAGGCGAAGATTTCCACCCATAAGGGCAGCATGGAGAAGGTGTTCGGACAGGCACATGTCACCCTGTTCGCCACCGACTTGTCCGACATCACAGAGAAGGTGATCATGGATAAGGTGAGTTGTGTCAGCCTGGCAGGCAGGGGTAGAAAAAATGCAGGAAAACTAGCCCTCAAAGGGCTACTACCTTATATCATGTAATAGGTAGATTTGCGTCCCTTGGCACGCCAGAAGCCTATGATTGTGGGTTCGAATCCCGATTCGCCCCGATTATGTTTCTAGGTTTGTCAGCACCATACCCGTGCTCGTGGGTTTCACCGAAGTGGTAAACGTCTGAGACCTGCATCACTTTGGGCTTTCCTACCACATTAACACCCAGCATGTTATGGTAACTATATTTTTAGTTTCTGTAATGAAGTTAACAGAGGTTTGCTTTCTGTTTGTGTTGCAAAGCGGCGGGGCATCGGTGAATGCACCTCTTGAATTTCACGGCCAAAGTCTTCGGTTCTCCTGCCAAACACATGGCATTTTGTTTGTGTCGCACCATTTCTGTGCGTCCAGGTCATCATATTGCTGGATTACTGCTAAAAGCGATATAAGACCATACTCGCTCACTCACTCACTCATCTGGCTTACCAGTGAATGAGTGAGTTACTTTTAATGCTGCTTGGAACAGTATTCCTGTTATATCACAGCATGTCAGCTTGATGTGGGTTGCTTGTCGTAAAAGGCGACTAACGGGATCGGGTGGTCAGGTAAAACGCCGCACTTAGCTATATGATGGCGGACTGTAAATAATCGAGTCTGGACCAGACAATCCAGTGATTGATATCATGAGCATCGATCCACGCAATTGGGATCAATGACATGCATCAACCAAGTCAGCGAGCCTGACCACCTGATCCCGTTAGTGGCCTCTTATGACAAGCATAGTCACCTTTTATGACAAACATGGGTTGCTGAAAACCTATTCTACCCCGGATCTTTACTGGTCCTTAATGTGGGAGGAAAACTTGTGATGCAGATCTTAGCCATTTACCACGAGCACCTGTATGGCTCTGACAAACCTAGAAACATAATTGTTGAGAACCGTAATTCACATCTAAGGGATACAAAACCACACAGCAAATTGTGGCGCCTTTATACCATGTTTACGTGCATAACATTTACTCACGTAACACGTTATGCGACTCCGCACAGCGGGCCACCCACCCCCTCAAAGTCTGAAGCAAGTGACCCCCTTCGTGGTCTAGTGGTAGAGCGTCCGCCTGGAGAGCGGAATGTCCGGGGTTCGATCCCCGGCCACGTCATACCAAAAGACGTTAAAAGATGGTACTTGTTGTTACCCTGTCTGGCGCTTGGCATTAAGGGGCTAAAACAAGGACTGGTTGGCTCGGAGTCACTATACTCATTACTGTGTCTGAGTGGGGCATTCATGTTAAACTGCGGCATGGTATCTCAGTTGGCTAGCACTATAAATCGGCATCAGTCCAGATTAGTACAAGCAGGCATGCATGTGTGCACACACACACGTGCATGCACATTGCTATATAAGTGCAATAATCTTGGATGAGACGTTAAACCCAATTTCACCTCACCTCACCTCTGAAGCAAGTTCAGTATTGCCAAATATCATTCCTTTGTAGAGGTGACTTCCACTTCATTGACAACAGGACCAATAAACAAGAACAGGCTTTAATGTTTATTTTTACATTTTTGCATTTTTGCATTGAATGAAATATCAAAATACCCCTGAACTTAAGAAAATATAGACTTTGAACAAAATTACTTTCTCTAAGTCTGCTGCACTAGTTTGGAATCCAAGATGAATCCCTGAGATTTAAAACATGTTTTTGTTTATTTCCATATAGGCCAAAGGCGAAAATACAAAATGATAACAAAAATACATTATGCATGTTTGTAGCATACACAGATTGTTACCCCACCCCTGTCCCCAACCCACCCAAAGACAGACCCATGACCTTCAGTGATTAAGTAAATAACATGCCCCTGATAAACAAGGATCTTATAGATGATGTAATCGATTACGTATTTATTTGTTTGCAGGTGACGTCGGCGTCGGGAACGCGATCCCATGTAAAGTAGAAGACCCATCAGTATCACCACATCATTGGTGCCTCTGGGTTAGAACAGGTCTTCAGCAACCCATGCTTGCCCTAAAAGGCGACTATGCTTGTCGTAAGAGGCGACTAAAGAGGTTTCACGGTACACAGCAATCTCACAAGGATGGAAACTCAGCTGATGGAAGTCAAATTAAATGTTATTGATATTCACACTCACATTTACAAAACCAATTTTGTTTTCATTTGATTTTCTACAAAACTTGATATTATGGTTTATTATTATTGAGCCTGTAATATTACATTGAGCAAAATCATTCTTCCCAAATGTCACATTTATTACAGTTCGATTAGGACATGAAACATTTTATGAAAAGCAACTTCTAAGCAGTTTTGTGTCATAATGGTCTTTATGTTCTTCCAGGGGCGGTTGGGTAGCCTAGTGGTTAAAGCGTTCGCTTGTCATGCCAAAGACCCAGGTTCGATTCCTGACATGGGTACAATGTGTGAAGCCCATTTCTGATGTCCCCTGCCATGATATTGCTCGAATATTGCTTAAAACGGCCTAAAACCACACTCACTCACTCACTCATGTTCTTCCAAGGGACTGGTCATTTATTGGGAGGGAAGGGGAGAGAGCAGTTTTCTTAGAACTCTGCCATATGATGCCGACCCCCCATTTTGTGTAACATTTCATGCACACCCCATATAGTTCTGATACATTTTAACAACCCCCGTCTTTTGCAGTGTCATTTTTCATGACTCTCCTCACCACCACCCTAATCTCACCAAGGAGCACGGGTGGCCCAGTCGTCTAAGGCGCCGTGATTCTCTGTGCAGATTTGCGTACCTTGGGCCTGCCAGAAACCTATGATTGTGGGTTCGAATCCTGGTTCGCCCCGATTATGTTTCTAGGTTTGTCAGCACCATACCCGTGCTCGTGGGTTTCACCGAAATGGTAAACATCTGAGACCTGCATCACTTCGGGCTTTCCTACCACATTAAGCTGACACGCCGCGATACAACTGGAATACTTAAAAGCGGCGCTAAATCCAACTCACTCACTCACTTATCTCACCAGCCCCCTCCTTATATTAAATGACCAGTCCCCAAATTCTAAATGCCTAAGAAAGACTTGATTACAGTTTGAATTCTATTTTTCTGAAAGATTTTATCTTACAAACTTCATATACGCAGCGAGACTTGTACTTGTCCTGGAGTCCTGTTGGGAGGGGGGGGGGGGGGCTAGAGATAGATGGCTAGTTGTCCCATCCCCGTCATCTAACATGTGTCATGTGTTACTGTGAAGAAAACTTGATGAATGATGTACAGTATTTGTTGATGAACATTAAGATTTAATCTTTGTCTATGTCTCGGAAAAATGTTATTTTTGATGAAGACAGCTTATGATTTATTGTGAAGAAATATGAAAAATGACGTGATTTTTGTATTTAGGAACATTGAAATGTATGTTGTTTTGTGTGTCAGAAAAATTATATTCCTTCTGATGAGTATTTCTAGTTCTAGTTTCAAAACTTGAAACTCTATACATTTATTGCAGCGACTTATGTCTTGCTTCATTGTCTTGCCTTTGAGAAAGAGTTCCTGCTTGTTCTTCCTTGTTACCATATTATAGCACTCATGGATAACGTGCACCCGTTTCCCGTCTCCCATCCCACCAATTTTCAATTATTTAGGGCTGTGAAATTCGTTAACCGGTTTACATAAAAAGTAAATATTTTTTTCAATATCTGATTTTATTGTGTCTTGGATGAGTCGGCACTTGATGACAGCACAATTATTTAGGGCTGTGAAATTCGTTAACCGGTTTACATAAAAAGTAAATATTTTTTTCAATATCTGATTTTATTGTGTCTTGGATGAGTCGGCACTTGATGACAGCACAATTATTTAGGGCTGTGAAATTCGTTAACCGGTTTACATAAAAAGTAAATATTTTTTTCAATATCTGATTTTATTGTGTCTTGGATGAGTCGGCACTTGATGACAGCACAATTATTTAGGGCTGTGAAATTCGTTAACCGGTTTACATAAAAAGTAAATATTTTTTTCAATATCTGATTTTATTGTGTCTTGGATGAGTCGGCACTTGATGACGGCACAATTATTTAGGGCTGTGAAATTTGTAAACCGGTTTACATAAAAAGTAAATATTTTTTTCAATATCTGATTTTATTGTGTCTTGGATGAGTCGGCACTTGATGACGGCACAATTATTTAGGGCTGTGAAATTCGTAAACCGGTTTACATAAAAAGTAAATATTTTTTTCAATATCTGATTTTATTGTGTCTTGGATGAGTCGGCACTTGATGACGGCACAATTATTTAGGGCTGTGAAATTCGTTAACCGGTTTACATAAAAAGTAATTTTTTTTTTTCAATATCTGATTTTATTGTGTCTTGGATGAGTCGGCACTTGATGACAGCACAATTATTTAGGGCTGTGAAATTCGTTAACCGGTTTACATAAAAAGTAAATTTTTATTTTCAATATCTGATTTTATTGTGTCTTGGATGAGTCGGCACTTGATGACAGCACAATTATTTAGGACTGTGAAATTCGTAAACCAGTTTACATAAAAAGTAAATCTTTTTTTTCAATATCTGATTTTATTGTGTCTTGGATGAGTCGGCACTTGATGACAGCACAATTATTTAGGCTGTGAAATTTGTAAACCGGTTTACATAAAAAGTAAATATTTTTTTCAATATCTGATTTTATTGTGTCTTGGATGAGTCGGCACTTGATGACGGCACAATTATTTAGGACTGTGAAATTCGTTAACCGGTTTACATAAAAAGTAAAAAAAAAATTTCACTATCTGATTTTATTGTGTCTTTGATGAGTGGGCACTTGATGACCAAAGTATACATACGAAAATCCATAAACATGCTGCCCTAACCCATCCCTTCTTTCTTCCTATCAGTACATACAACTGTTAAAGAACACCCAATTTTTTCACACGACTAAAGTTGATCTCTGTCATGGTCATGGTCAAAACAGATTAACTACAGTCATATTAAAATAATTGGGTGATCTATTCTAGGGCTGGGACGAGTCCAAATTTACTACCCGGGTACCCACCACGCTATTACCCGACCCTACCCAGGTACCCGCTACAGGTCTCAAGAGTTTGGTACAAAATATCCCTTTGGAAATAGTTTGAGCATAGCCCTAGTAAAATGTATTTAAATATATGTATAAAAAGATCTGATCATTCATACACTGACGTTGACTGAAGTGTTATTTTTATTCAAACCTATATAGGTCAGAAGCAATGGGTCTTAGTCAGAAAGAAATGCAAACATTTGTGACTTGCAGTGTATATATTGAGATGAAGTGCACCATGTTTTACACTGTGTTATTACCGGTAAATATCTCCGTATGAACACTTCTAGGATAGATCTGCTCGGTTTCACGATTTCTGTGTAATTTGGACTTTTATTTAATTTTACATTTTTGTTGTGATGTTTTCTTATAATTTGCTTCTCTTGGATCAAGATTGTTTGAATATTAATCAGAATTTGTCATTTTTTATATTAATGTATGTTGTATATGTTTTCGCTTGCATACACTGCCTTCTCTGTTGCGCGATAAACACATGATCAAATTGGCTGTTGCAAACACAACACACAAGTGTACAAACAGCTATATTGGAACAAATTTCAGAAAACCAGTATTTGGTTGTAAGGTTATTATAGCAGAATAATGACAAAATATTGACAAAATACACACAATTTATGGACAACACTTCTTTGATTTACTATCATGAAGATGTTTCAGTATAGATCCTTATATCGTTGTCTATTTCTTCATTCATCAATTTCGAAGAAACGCCTGTCAAACAATTGACAATATTTGCTAAATAATTTCCTCCATGGTGAAAGTGTCTCTCCATGAGAGAAAAACAATGTCACAGTACATATCTATACATTGTCGAACTATACATTTATGTTTCCAAGAAATATTTTGACATTTTTGAAATAGATATAACTCGTTCGAAACGTTTTTTTGAAAAGACAAAAATACTGCTAGTTCCTCACATTTGTCACAAAATAATGCAGATGTAAATATTTTGTTGTGGCCTAACTGATGCATTGGCCATGTTCCATGAAGTTTGTTTCATTTCATCGTATTAAGCATATTTGATTATTTTCTGGAAAGTGATTGGAAAATTTGTTCCATTCCAAAGCTTTTCTAATTTACCATACTATTGTTCCATTGTCTGAAGAATTATAAACAAACAGTTCAGCTTGTTTGTGAGACTTTTAAAACATATCCAATCCTAATTCTACATCCTATTCTTTCATAATAGTAAGAGGGCACAGGTGGCCCAGTTAGGTGACACAAGTCACTGTGCAGACTTGTGTCCCTTGGCCACACCAGAAACCTATTATTGTGGGTTTGAATCTCAGTTTCTAGGTTTGTCAGCACCATATCTCTGCTTATGGGTGGGGAGTGGTGGGGCGGTGGGGTAGCCTAGTGGTTAAAGCGTTTGCTCGTCACACCTAAGACCGGTGTTCGATTCCCGACATGGGTACAATGTGTGAAGCCCATTTCAGGTGTCCCCGCCGTGATATTGCTGGAATATTGCTAGAAGCGGCGTAAACCCATACTCACTCACTCACTCACTTACCAGAGTGGTAAATGTCCGAGACATGCATAATTTCTAGGCTTTCTTCTTATTGCCCAGGCAGTGATAATACTGGAATACTGTTCAAAGTGGCATTAAATCTAGCTCAATAACTCACAAGTTTTTATGAATCTAGGAAACTTTTTTGAATGAAAAATATGCAGTTGTATTCAATCAAATATGAAGTTGTTTGTTATTTAAACAGTCAGCCTTTGATATCACGTTTAGTCTGTTGTATGATGTGTCAATGTATTTTTGTCAATGTTGATTTATATTTTGTCCTTTTGTACAAAATCTTGTTGATGGTGGACCAGTATATACAAACTATTTTTCTTATTCCATAATCTTATGAATATCATGCTTTTGCATAATTTGCTATGACGTTATAAGCAGTTGCTTATTGAAAACACTATCTAAATGTATCCATTCTGCATGTATTTTGGTTTCGTTTGTATATACTAGTCAAAATAAGTTAAAGCTCACTTGATTCTCTCATGTTACTGTAGTTAGTCTGTCATGACATTAACTATACTAATATGAAGGAATTGGGTGTCCTTGAACTTTATGTACACACACATTTGCTATACAAGAGAGTGCATCTTCCCGAGGCAAGAGAATCCACTCGCCTTTTTATCAAAGTCTTGTTTCCACCCTTGCCACATCAAGCTAACTTTCCTGTGCTAAATATGATTGGACTATCGCACATATCGATAGTCCAATCAGAGAACGTTTCTCAAATCAACATCCATGACTGATACACCTTCGTATGAAAGTGGGGGCGGTCGGGTAGCCTGGTGGTTAAAGTGTTCGCTCGTCACGCCGAAGACCTGGGTTCGATTCCCGACATGGGTACAATGTGTGAAGCCCATTTCTGGTGTCCCCCGCCGTGATATTGCTGGAATATTGCTAAAAGCAGTGTAAAACCATACTCACTCACTCGTACGAAAGTGATTTACCGCTGCCTGTCTTTGTTGACGAAGGTATTTTACATCTTTTAAACCCCCCAACGATTGCCTATGTTTTTGTGATAAGGATGAAATCGCGAAAGATTTCGTTATCTGATAGATGAGGTCATCACCGATGGTAGTCACCATTTTTGTGAAGCTATACGAGATAAGAACAGTGATCTGATTGGATATCGCATTTTCATTACAAGTGGCTCAACTCGTGATCTACGAGAGGTGATGCCAGGGTCGAGCCAAGAAAATTGGGTTGATGTGGCAAGGATAGACACTAGGCTTTGATATAGGCTAGTGGAAACG